GCAGCGCATCTTTGATAGCACCTTGGGCTATCCAGGTGAAGGTCCGAAATGGGCAATGATCTCAGCCAACGTTGATTCATTCATCACGAATGCCAACTGCCTTCACTGGGAGGCTGACACTTTTCTATTACAAGAAGCTCGCATTGCACATTCGAATATGATGGATGCTCAACGAAAGGCTGCCCTCAGCAACTTCCATGTCTTCTGCTCACAACCACTCCAGAAGATCAAAGTTAGCAATGGTGGTTACCGAATCCCCTCAGGTGGGACTGCTACGTGTGCCAACAAAGAGCTTGCGCAATTGTTTGGGGCACATGATGATGTTTCAGGTACTTGGTCCCTGATCTGCAGTACTGCTCGAGTTACAGCCACATGGCACCAGGTTTCAGCCTCAGTCAAGCTGTTGGCATTCAACTTCTATGCCATTGCCAATGCGGCCTCCGAGAGACAGAAATTTGAAAGGAATAATGAGATGCTGCATCAGATATTTACAGTTGCCGCACAGTACGTGGACATTCCTATTGTTTTGGCTGGTGACTTTCAAATGGAGCCAGGTATGTACCCCTCCGTGCAACTGGCTCTAGACCATTGGGGGTGGGCTGACCCCCTCCTCCATACAGACGAGAATGGAGTGATTGTTCGGCCGGCTACTTTCTTCCAACGCAATGCGCCCACAGATGCTGACGGGCAATCATCAATCGATGGTATCCTGGTCAATCGGACGGCTTTAACAGCCTTGCTTGGGGTTGAAGTTCTCCAGCATCAAGACAGGCAACATAGGCCAGTCCGGGCCACCTTCATGTGGGACCGCATCCACATGTCAGGCACAGTTCTTCAACGGTCGGCCAAGTGACCCTGTCAATCCACATTGTCCTGTTCAGCAGTCAGGTGAGCAACTATGGCAGCAATATGCTGGAGAGTTTGATGATGCCACCTCCTCTGATGACAAATGGGCTGTCTATACCTCTTATGCAGTCCACGTGCTCAAACACAATGGGGCATATTGGGAGAAAGGCCCGCGTGCCCGGGGCACTTTGCCAAAATTTCAAACTGTCCATCGCTGTTCATTGCAGGATGAGAGTGGTGGTTGTGCTTCCCCACACCTACTTCTTCTTCGTGCCATTCTTCGGTCACTGCGAGAACTGGAATTCCGATTTCATAGAGATGAACACGGCACTGGCGACTCCCGCACTTTTCGCAACACCCAACAGAAGCTGCTCCGAAGGCTTAAAGTGGCAAAATTGGTCCCATTCACAGTTCGCCAAATCTTTGCACATGACCTGCCTCATCTGATCGAGCTCGCCCTGAAAGCAGTGGAGCAGGAACTTCGCAGTTTGAAATTTGCAGCTACCACAAATGGCGGGAATCGATGAAAGATGCGACCAAGTCCATGACTATTGGCAAAATTGTCTACCAATTTCTGAAGCGGAAAGGGCGGGTTGTCCCACCTAATCTTGTTGAGGATGATTCCGGCAACATTCTCTACGATCCCCAGCAGGCAATGGATGCTATTGCGACTAAGTGGGACTCAGTCTTTGCAGTTAATGCTGACCATGAACACGAAATGCAAGTCCTGAAGCAAGTGTGGCCGTACATCCATGATAAAGGGAAGAACATAACACTCCCTCCAATTGATGAGCACCAGCTGTGGAGGCAAGCTGCCCAACGGAGACCTGATGCAGCTGCAGGGCTGGACGGTTGGATGACACGGGAGGTCCAAGCACTCCCACCATCGGCCTTTAAGCCTGTTGCATGGTTTTTTAACCAGATTGAGGCAGGGAGCATTGACTTTCCGACCATCCTGACGCAAGTCCGTATGGTGATCCACAACAAGGATGGTAGTGATGCACCTCTCTCCAAGCGGCTTATTTCACTGCAATCTGTGTTCACACTCCTGTACACAGGCCTTCGATTTATGCAGCTCCAAAGTTGGCAGCAAGAGGTCATTCCATGGCAATTGAAAGGAGGTATTAAAGGGCGCCAAATGGCAGAAGTCCATATGACTGTTCAGCAGGAAATTGACGCTGCCCATTGTCTACAAGGCTCTTTTTCTGGCCTCAAGTTGGACAAGTCCAAGTGCTTTGACCGTCTGATCCCTAAGCTTTGTGCTGCCTTGATGTTGGCTCTAGGCCTTCCTCAGGGCCTGGCCTGTGGCTTCCTGGCGCTCTATTCTAGAATGACGAGATACCTCTCTTTTAAACAGTGGACACGATCTCAGCCGATCTCCACAGCAAATGGTGTTGTGCAGGGATGTTCGCTTAGCCTTCTTTGCATCAACCTACATATTGCTGTTTGGGTATGGCTTATGGCCCACATTGATGGGGTTGACTTCCGTGCGTTCATTGACGACACCTACCTGTGGACGCGACTGCCCTCCATTGATAAATTGGTTGCTGCAGTACGTGCAACAGAGCTTTGGGACTCGCTGTGTGGACAGTTCCTGAATGCCAGTAAATGCGAGATCTTTGCCACATCTGGTGAACTCCGCCAGCAGATGAGACTTGCTTTCCCCAACATGAAGGCTGTTGAGGTTGTGAACATCCTTGGAGCACATGTTCAGACAACGAGGAAGAATGTCGGCAGTTTTCCAGTTGCCAAAATCCAGGCGGCGCTGCGTGACTGTGAGTCAATCAGATCTTTGCCCTGTGATAGCTACAAACGTGCACAGATTTTGACCACAAAGGTCCTACCACAAGTGGCATTTGCCCCGCAGCTCAATTTCATCCCCAAAAGGCTCTTGGCCAGGTTACAATGTGCCATTGCGGATGCTCTGTGGCAAAACAGGCCTATGTGGCGATCCAAGCACCTCTTGCTGTGTATCATCCATAAAGCGCATAAACTTGACCCTTTTCTGTTTCGAGCAGTTGCCACTATTGCAGAGTCTGTTCGCTTCTTACAAAGCTCTGAGCATGCCAGGATGCAATGGCAGCGGCTCTACCAGCAGGATCAGTTTACTCCGCAAGCTTGGATGACCCAATTTGGTCAAGCGTGTCATATCCTGGAACTAGACTGGTGCAGCCCTTTTGGCTTTGCCATGCTGGATGCCTCTGAAGTTTACTTTTTGGATTTCTCCGTGCGAGATCTCAAGTGCCTTCTGACGAGCATTGCTGCAAACAAATGTTATACCACAGCCTGCCTGATGCCTCGCAAGGATATACAGAAAGCCACTGGATTCCTGGACCTTCCAATGACGCTTTCCGCCAAAAGGAAGATTGCGGCTATACCCAACCCCGGGTTCTCCTTCCTTTTCTTCTGGGAGAGTGCACTAACGGGATGCACGCTTACAGCTGACAGATTGGCTGCCTCTGGTATTGTGGAAAGTGCCGCCTGCCGCTTTTGCGGCAGTGAGAAGGAGTCAATGCAGCACTTTGTGCAAGGGTGCTCGGGCCTTCCCCCTGACTTACATCAACCAGCTTCTGCGTACTACTTTGGGCCGAACTTTACCATCCTAGGTGTTGCCGAGATTTCGCTGGACCTTATACGGGCCAAATTGCGTGTATCCAGTACTGCTGAGCTCCAGGTCCAAGAATGGGGAAGACCCTTTCAGGCCTATCAGCATGTCTGGTCTGACGGGTCAGTACAGCTTGCAAGCTATCCATGGCTCACCATGGCGTCCTATGCAGTTGTAGCGGATGATGGGCGACTCTTGGAATCGGGTCATGTTTGGCACTGGAGATTTGCAGCTACAGTGCGGAGTTGTGGGCCATTTTGGCGGCCTTTTCAGCAGCCGTTGAACCGATTGTGGTGCACACTGATTCACTGACGATTGTGAACCAATTTCAAGAGCTCTTACTGTATGGCAGGATCCAACTAGAGTGGACCCATGCACAATGGTGGGGGTTTCTTCTCACACTAATACATCGACGCCGGCAGTACCATGATCAACCCCTCAAATTGGTTTGGTGCCCAGCCCACCTGCTTGAAGAATGCCCCATTGACCAGATTACAGAACAGCAGGCAATAGACGCCGGTTCCACACTCCAGGACATTCGATTGAATCGGAAAGCAGATGAGTTTGCCAAATGCCATATACATGAGGCTGCTACCAAAATCAAAGCTGAACTGCAGCTTAAAGAGAACGATGTTTTTGCTCGCCACCTGTGGTTGGCGAAGATCAACCGTGCACGCAAAAAGCCAGATAGTGCTCCTACGGCAGCTCCTGTGGTCACCACTGCACCCACAGAGAGGCTCACTTCGAGACAGCTTTGCCCAAGGTGGGCATGGGACAGCAAGCTGAGCGATTATACATGGACTGCCAGCATTGATGAGTCATTTATGGGTCCGGGGAAGTCACCTCTGACTTCTGCCAACTTTGCAGTGTTTCTGCGATTCATGAATTCCCTGCGCTGGAGACTTGGGGAAGGGTTGGCTTGCTCGGTTTTCGAACTTTCAGCTGCAGCCTTTTTACATGGATGTCGCTTTGAGCTTCCTGCAGACACTATCTGCACACCACAGGCATATGCCATGGTTATTCGTGCTGCAATTTCGTTCTGCAAGGCCAAGAAACTTGTTGTTGCACCCTTGCTTTTAGACAAGGGAAACAAAAGCAATGGGAAAACATTTCCCAAAGGTGCGTTTTTTGGAGCCGAGGTTTTCCTTGACAACCAGACCTTGGAACTCCTGTCCCGGGCCTTCGAGAAGGGGGCCAAGGCTACTCCCCTTTCTTGGGCCCTGCCTTTTGATTCACTCCTGTGAATCAGTTGAGCCATAAGAGCTACTGACCTTCACGGCGGAAGCCTGTTGGTCGCCGAGACTTCAGTGGCGGCAAGAGAGCAAAAAAAAAAAGGAAGCTCCCCCCAGGGAGGAGTTTCCTTGAAGCGTGAGCTATCCTGCGTCCAGCGGGTAGTAGTGTACTAGTAGCTAGTAGCTTACTAGTCCGTTACTTATATAACTAAGTAGGTGCCTGCTTACAGTAATTAAGTAGGTGCCTGCTTACTAAGTAGGTGCCTAAGTAGCCAGTAGCTTAGAAAACAGCTTTAAAGAGATCGAAGAAAGACGAGGCGCTCTCGGGCACCTATCTGCTGGAGGAGCGCAGCAGCAACTTTTATGTCACTTAGCTCCATGTCAAAAGGAATCGTCTTTAGAGAAGCACGTGCTCTCTTTTCTGTGCCAGTATTTGGTTGAAATGGTTCTCTGAGGGCTCTTTGGGACCTCTTGCCGGGGTTGTTTGGAGGTTCATTTTTGGTGTGAACGCGTCTTCTGCGCTGGATTGGGGTTGTTTCATTGGATTTAATTCTCCTGGAAGGATTGGAGGTTCAAAGCTGGATTGGGTAGTAATGATGGTTTGTGTATGATAGTGAAGATTTGCACGAGTGTTGCAAGAGATGCACTAAGAACATGGTCTCTGCTGGGAGTCCTCAGTCCATCAGCGTGGAGACTCAGTGTGTATCGCGAAAACAACTCTACAGCTATGATAGCTCTACAGCTCATAGCTCTACAGCATAGCTTTACAGTATATGTTCTTGTAATGCTTGTGAAGATTTTGCCTCAAGTCAGCGCAGAAGTGGCAACAACTTTTGATACGCATTAAATACAATGTTTTGCAACTATTAACATCCTGGTCAGACATAATATGCACCTTGTGTTATCTAAAGATCAACCTCCTCCGTTTTATTTCACGCAAGATTTATCCACTTTGCTCTGCGATGGACAAAGGTTGCTAACTAACGTCAGACAGCAACATGTAAAGTGTTGATTCTCAGGTAAGCTTGGTTTCAACTAGAAGGCTTCAACACTACTATCTTGTATGAACATATGTTGTAGTTTAAAAAGATATCCTGTTCCATTGGATGAGTGCTCCAACTCAACACGTGAACCTTTCGTGCTGTACGCTTCTTTTCTAGTGCTTGGGCTCAACAAAAATCTAGTCTTGTTACTGGTAGCAATGCTCTCGTTACTAGTAGCGATGCACTTGCTACTAGTAAGTGTAGTAAGGCCAGGAGCTTCGTTCGTAGCAGCTCCGTTCTGCTCTCGCGATGAAGAGTTGGAGACTCGGACGTCGACGCAGGTTCCTCCAAAAAGAGACTCGTGAGACGTGCCGACCGGCTACAGCACACGGAATTGTTGGATGCCCAGAACTCGAAGCCGTGGTCGTCTGAAAACACCGTTTTTTTGTACAGAGGAGAACCAGGACGACTATCAACAACCACTGGATTGATTCGTTTCATTTCAATTCATCTTACTTCCTCGTGTTATTGAGGCACTGGCGGACTCACTCGGTGACTGAGGCCACCACTGTCGAACCTTGATGAGCTCTTGGTGAGGAAAAACCTCGCGTGTGCTGCCGCCTTGAATTGGGAGATGCGTGTTGGGAAACTGGAACCTGGGTGGATGCAAGCAGGAGCTGTGCACCTGATATGAAAAAGCCCGTGGAGGAGGCGCGGACATAGAACTGGAAGGGACTCGAACTTCACTAGTTTTGGAGTGGAGCAAACATTTGTGTAGCAACAACTCTTTGCTGAGGGACAACTAGATGTTTTTTTCGTGAGGCACCCTTGCGGCTGCCACCCATCGATGATTCAGCGCAGTGAGCATCATAGACTGACACCCGCAGCAGTGGTGTTTTTTGTACACAAACGTACACAAACCGGAGCATCCTTTCTTCACAATTTGGGCATGCCTTGGCATGCTGTGTGAGTGTACCCACTCATTTGGACCTTGAGTTTTTGCTGAAACATCTACAAAGAGCTTTCAACCTTGCACCTGAAGCCACTCCAAGGGTGAGCATTGGTACCTTCAAAAAGTTGCTGGCGAAGTCATCTTCTCGGGTACTTCGTCTAACCTTCGTTCCCTATGCCGGAGGTGCATTGAGGCTGGTTGCTGCCATTTTTCTTTCTCCGAACATGCGAGGCCTGGTTCAAGCCACGTCTCTCCGTCTTGGCAGGACAGCTTGGGATGATGTCCTCTTCCAAGAAAATGCACGTCTTCGGATCAAGTTCTACCTAGCCAGCTTTAGGGCTGCAACAACCGGGCATGTCTAGCATATCTATTTGCTTATCTGAAGAAACAAAGAGCGCATGAACACAACTGTTTGGAACCGCTGGAGGGTGAAATCTGGGAAGGGCTGTTTGCTCAGGAGAATGACGAGCCCCTTCAGTGGCACATTCTCTTGTCAGCAGCTCGGTCAGACATGTTTCACGTTTTGGAAGTGCCAAGCCAATTTGAGGCTCAAGGCCTCATTCGATGGCAAGTTGGAGGTTCGATTCTGAGCGATTCGAAGGTTCCGAAGAAGTGAAATGCTGCCAGGTCAGCACGGTGGCTGAGTGGCTGGTGGAGGTGGGCAGTAGATGAACCACGTCAAAAAACCCCTACGATGGTCCCACTTGACATGCTTTTGGAAGCTGATTTCGGAATCCGACAGGGTTCGCCGATTCAGGAATATAAGTCAAAGAGATCCTTTTCGAATCCAATCAAATCCCAATTCAACGACTTGAGTCCGACTCATGAGACCTGACGTTCAGGACCTGACGTTCATTCTGACAGGTCCTAAGCATGGACGTCCCAGAGGCTACGCGATGTGCAGAGGCCGCTTCTTCAGAACCGCCTCGGCCTGGCGGGTGTTTCACCCTCCGCCGAGGCTGCCAAAGTCCATCCGACGGTGCGGGTGGCGAGCCTCGATGACTGGAAGATGGTCAAAGAGAAGGCGCGGCTCTTCGAGGCTCTTCGCGGAAGTTTCCGGGAGGCCTCGTTGCCGCGAAAAGCAGCTGCGTTTTTGTTGATGCTTATATAATCTTATATATTCTGGTGCGGAGAAGCATTGAACAATGTTTCTGGTGTCCCAGCCTAATCACATGACTCCTTTGTGCAAGCCTATTAGGCAGATCTACCAGGGGCATCGAATCAGCCTCCCATCTCTTGGAGATTGTCAATCCCATCGCTTCATGACCCCCGAAGTGGCGGTGGGAGCATCGAACCGAACGTCCACCACGCTTCGCTGCCAGGTTGAGAGTTTAAGGGCTCTTGGCCTTGCAGTACAGGTGAGGCTGCAGCAAAACATGGATACACAATACATCTTAGAGCATCTAGATGATTTCCAGACGCATCTCAATGTTGAGACTCCTTTAGAGGTCGCATCAGGAGCAATACACCAGGCACTTGCTCTTGCCTCGAGTCTATATTTTTCAAGTGTGTTTGGGGAAATTTCAGGTGTCTCTTCTCTTGACTCGCACTTGCTGTGAGCTTCTCAAGAGGCTCTCAAGGATTCTCACGCCGAGGTCAACGGCCAGCGTGGCGATTCGCGAGGCCCGGAACCACGACATGCGTGACCGTGACCGAAAGCCGAAAGCCGGGCCGAAAGCCCCGAAGAGCGAGCGCAAGGTGCTTTGGGATGCTTGGGGTCTCCGAACTTTCCGGTGGTTTCCGTGGCTTTCCGCTTGACATCCAGGTCCTCGACCATCCTCTACCCATTCGGTCGATTTCCGGTGGTCGTTTTCACCAGATCTCCGGTCGTTCGAAGAACCGAGAGAGGACGTCGGCGAAGGTCGCTTGGCGAAGGAGAGCTACACCGAGATCTTCGACCTCGTTCCAGGTCTCAAACGGTCGAGGTGCCGAGAATCGGGATGGAGTGATGGAGGATGTGAAGTGAACTAACTTCGATCCGAGAAACCTGATTTGGCAATTTGGGGATGTATCTCTTGTGTTGAACCCCCAAAAAACAGTTGTTCCGTGAACAACCCTGGCAAAAAACATGATGTGAAGCAGAACTATTCCTTTCAAATGCAGTATTGATGCTCTTGAAGGCCAGCGAAGAAGGGCAAGGGCACTGAAAGTCATCCTCATCGTGCCAAGTGGCGAGGCGGGGAGATGCGGGGAGCAGCAACGAAGAGGCAGCCAATATGGCCACAGCGAGCGCTAAGAAAGTGTCGCCCAAAGGAGTCAATTGACATCCCAAAAAACATGGGGATTTGATTGAGTGCTCATGGGCCCATGGGTTTTTGACTTGTTGGCTTTAGGAATGTCGCAGCTGGTTGTCATGGACGTTCTCTCGAAGGAGGGTGGTATGGAACATTGAGAATCTAGCCATCCCATTTTTTTGACTTTGACAAGAATACTTGTTCTGAGACGTTTGAGGACCCAGTCAAAAATATTTTGACAGAGGAAGACGACGAGGCTCACTTAATGTGCTGTAGTGCTACCGAACGCCACCGTGCACGGGTTTGTAGAGCCAGGGAATCAGAAGTAATGGATGCATGCAATTGCAATAGGGCTTTGCATTGGCTGGACATGCATATGTAGATAGGATTTGCATAAATTTGCAATGATTTCGCACAACAAACGTTTGAAGAGCACCCAAAGGAGCACCCACCATGTTTCCCCAGTCCTTGTAGACCTGCAATTGCAGGATGAAAGCAGCTGGCTTGGAACCGAAAGTGCCTTGGCTGTACCAGTAGGTCCCACTAGGTCACTAGGTCACTGAGCAACCGACCGTGCCGTTGAACCCACTTCACGGAGGCGAGGCTGAGTGGACCCAGTGGAATCTCCTCAACGCGAGGAAGCCAGGGCCTCGGCACCTGGTGGAAGTGGAAGTGGAGCAGCCAGGGTGATGCCAATTAGTTTCATTTTTTGTCCTCAGGAAACGAGTGAAGAGGATCCTGAACAAGCGAGGGAGAAAGCTCGTGAAAATGGGAAGCTTGCCTGCGCCCTCTGAGAGTGACAAGACAGAGAAGCTCACGGACAAAACAACTTGTAGCTTCAGGAGCAAGTTTGTGTTGCAGTCCGAAGCCATGTGGCTGGGTTGAGGGTGAGTTGATGTGAGACATCCTGACCTGACGCGAGGAGTTCCGTCATAGAGACGCAGAAGAAGATGAGCCGACGCCCCACCTGCGATGGCAAGGGTTTCCTGAAGCCTTTAGATTCAAGATGATTCAAGGTATGATTGCTCAGCTACAGGGAACTCCCACTCTCACCTTCCAGCGCAAGGAGGACATGATGGTTGCTTTCGATTCTTGTACACACTTTCAGTTAAACACTTCTCTTCCCTTCTTCCCTAGCCGTAGCTGGCAGTCAGAAGTTATTGCCTCATATTCTCACTGTGGCGACCAAAAACCGAAAGAAGCCGAAAGCCGCCAGGCTTGCCAAATGCTGCGGTTCTTTGTCTTCGGTGCTGCCGGAGCCTGAGCTGACTGAGCTGTTCGGTGCGACTCGCCCGCTTGAAAACCCGATCGGCCAAACTCGCTGGACTTGCTCGGCCGTTCACTTCTCAGGTGGGCAACGAGCATCTAAGAGCTCAAGCAGATAAGGACTCGCATCTTGGCGAGGGAGCCGGTGACAGCATCTGAAGGTGTGAAGAAAGAGAGCTCTATTGGTCAATTATTACTGTAGTCAAGGAGCAAACGTTCTTCGAAGGATCAAAGGGCTTTGAGTCATTTTGAGTCGATAGTTATTCACCCAGGTTAGACACTTGAAGCAAAATGCTCACCCACAAAGGCAGTGGTGGCTGAGTAGTCCCGATCAGGGTCCGGAGAATCTTGGGTGCTTCGGTGTGAAGTAGTTCTAGGCGTTTTTCGGGCTTGATTCGGAGGTTTTGTCATGAAGACTTGGCAGACACGCCTCCGGTGGCCACTTAAAAGCCAGAAGGTTTCCACGGGTCGAGCCAAGGATCTTCTATGATCGTTTGGGCGAGAGATGGCAGGCAGGGCATGTATGAGGATTGAAGGTCCAGCAACTGAGGTTCGGGCCGAAACTGTACGTCAGTCCTTGCGCAGGGGTGAGGCTTTCTGGGTTTTAAGGCTTCAGGAACTGAGGAGTGACAATCCGAAGGAGACTGCCAGTGAGAGTTCCAGTTCTCATCAGCTCACACCTATTTCCCTTACCACATTTCGCCAATGTGTGAACAGCTTGATATAGCATGATATAGCTTGCCCTGGTGGGTTTGGTGTTGCTGAATGCGAGATACTTCCTGAGGTGCAGCAACTCTACAACTTGTGGGACAGGTTGGATTGTGATCACTCAGGACGCCTGGTACTGAGAAAGATGTGGACTGATTCTGGGTGAAGAGATCTTCGTCCGAATGGCGTGGTTTTCTGAGGTTGTGACTTTAGTGAGCTTCGCAGATTTGCGGAAGTTAGACTCAAAGCCCTCGTTGAGGCACGACACACACACAGTCATATACCCACACACCCAACTGTCAACTGATTGATTGTTTGATGTTGTTTGTCAAACTCTTGTATCACAAACATTCACAACCGCCAATGCTCTTTCTTTCTTGTTTTTCTTCGGGCTGAGACTTGAGGCCGCTTTAGCGAAAGGCACCAAAGGCCTTGCAGGTTGCGAACTGAACGACTTGAAGCTGCTAGTTGGTTGCCCACGGTTGCCCACATGAAGGTTGCAAGAACTTGGGTTCCTGGGTTTTCTATTCTTTTTCTTGCCAAAAGCCAAGGACTACCAGCTTGGGCAGCGGCCCAAAGTGGAGAGGCTCACATGCGGTGCGTACAGTAGGTAGCTGATGAAGCGGCGCCATGTCAGGATGTCGCGAAAGCTGCCAACAAGCTCATGAAAACGTTGGAGCAGGCGTTTGGAAAGGATTTGTAACTTTTGGCAGGTCTAGGTCTTGGAATTAATACCTTGGAACCCTACTAAGTCACAAGATACTCGTTGTGTGTATGTCGTGTCCAACATCTTGAAACACTCCTTCGCGAGATGCTTTTCGGCATGAAGACCTCCTTTGTGCTGGAGGACTGAGACTCTGAGATCGACTTCTTTTCCACGATCTTCACAATCCCGGATCGTGTTGGCGGTTGTTCGCCAGGACATGATCCGCATTCTGTGGCCCATGAGCCAACCCAATGACGTCTTGGAGATGCGCAGGCGCAGTGGCCCATGGGTCGGTCGCTCCACTGGGTCAGAGGGTCGATGGAGTCAGGTGGTGTACGGAGATGGCCAACAGCATCGAGAGGACGTCAAAAGGGGACTCAACAACATGGCAACTGTGATGTTTTTAAGATAGACAATGAAAGGAGGGAAGCCTTGGAGATGTCGACAAGATAGAGCCTGACCCTGCATGACCCTGAACAAGGGCAACATGGCAACATTCTTTCTCTTAGACAGGTCATGTCGGGTCTGTCTGGTGCTGTGACTTGCTTGATGCGCAATTTTTTGAGCAAAGAAGAAGGGACGTCTTGGGGACTCAGACTCAGTAGACCCATGTAGACGGCTGGAGGACTGGAGTCCAGACTCCGCCACTGTTGCCAGAGGCGCCGGCATGGACGTCAGTGGTGTATTTTGGAGCACCATCACGGTTTGCACGTGCAGGAGAAGGTTGAGGACTTGAGGAGCATTTTCAAGTGCGATGCGCAGCGTTGAAGCTCTTCCAAATGCCAACATTGCTCGGTTGCAGGGCTTGTTTGCATATTTGCCCACTTTTCTTACAATTTGAACTTAGTCCATGAAATCCTTCCAACAATTTCCATTTAAAAACCGTCCAACCCCTTTCTCTATCTTCACCACTTGCTCGAACTGAAGCCCGTCCAACGCGACGCTCGGGGCTCGCCTTCAACGACCCTGACAAGCCTTCAACGACCATCTCCAACCTCTCGAACCTGCGCTAGTTACTTCGACACACACTTATAGAAATGCGTACTGATGTGAACCGCAAGGAACCCTGTGTCTAAGGAACCCTGTGACTACAAGGGGCACACACACACACACACATACACCGTCCGACGGTGTCCGAGGTACTTCGACACCGACAATGATGGACAACTTCAAGTGCCGGATCTTCTGGCCACCGGATTCCTGAATCCTCGTGAGGCACGGGGGAACCTGCTTTTCAAAAGCATGTCTGGCGCAGAGGTGTAGGTTGCGACTACAGGGCACTGTGAAAGTCAATGTTTTTGTTTATCTATATAAAGCAGTTTCACAGTGGTTTATTGGGGGTAGATCTTTCACTACACTCAACACTCCTCAAGCTGCAGCAGTCTCTCCTTACATGGGGATTTGATTCTGGGTAGGAGATTCAAACAATTCGCTGTCTATATACTAATTTCAGTTGGTGGTTTCGGACCCTAGGATTTCTTGTTGGGAAGTCTTGGCTCCTGTTGTTGGAGCCAAGTCCTGCAGACGAACGATGAGTAGACCAGTGACTCAGTTGCAGGTTGACCTGATCATCGAGAAGTACGACGCAGATGAAGATGGGTGCTCCATCCTCCAATTGATTTTGCACTTGACATGAAAGGAATCATGAAAGGAACATCCAGTCCAGGGATGTCCAGGGTGTGTTCTTCTTCTTCTTCTTCTTCTTTCTAATTTTGACGTCGAGTGGGTAGGTTTGGTTGGCACGTGATGTTTAGGGCTGGTCGTTGAATTGATTGTTGTCGTACGACTCGATGTTTAGGGCTTTGGGTGGTGATGTTTGCCAGGAGATTGGGGGTCCTTGAGTTTGTGGAAATGCTGTGCCCAGCAGGGTATCGTGCTCATGAGAAGGCCCGTTTGACAGGTCCATATCCATGTCCTGGAAGGCCACTGACATGAATGAATATCTAGAATCTGCCCTAGGTGCTACGCACATGTGAACTGCCAGTCTCAGATTCTCGAATGGCTTGCTTTGTTCATGGTATAAAGGCGTTTTTCCTTGCAAAATTGTTCCTCGGATGTCATCAACACCACAACACAGGCAAGAAGGTGTCTATTCTCCTCGCTACAACTGGGTGTCATGAGTCATTGCTTCTGCACTCTTTTGCAGTTCTCCTCCGGAAGGTCCCCCGAAAACAGCTACGCGAAAGTTGAAAAGACCACACCACCGCTCCAGCTACGCAGCGAACTTCTTCGCGCTCGGAGGTGACGCACGCAACGCTCCGGAATGGCAAGGACGTGGTGTACGACACGGAGTTTTGCCGTGCGCGACCCCGGGTCTTCCCTGGGTCTTCCCCGGGTTTCGTCACCCGGCGACCCCGGACACGTCTGGTTTGAAGGGCGACACGTTTTGTGGGGCGACACGTTTCCGGGGTCTTTCTCAAATGATTACATGATCAACCAACCTAATATATGTTTCTGAATATACATGTATATATATATATACATTGTAAGACTGCAGAAGAAATAGGGTTGCTGCCAAGTTGCTGCCAGTCCTCACATTGACATTTCGTTGTTTTCTCGAACAAACAGAGCTCACGATATGAGCAGCATCTTTTTTGCAGCAGCTATATTATAGCTGTTGCCATTCGATCCATTTGTGCTTCGAGCAGATTGGCAAGGTTGGCGACTGGTCAACCACACATTGAGGCTGGGCGATTCAGCATACTTCTTCACTTGTCAAACCATCAGAGAGGCAAGCCCCACGTTCTTCCGTTGAAAAACCATCAAGATTTGTGGCGCCGTCCTTTCAAGTGTCATTTCATCTGAAGGGATTGATGCAAGCTCCTGCACTCGCTGTACAGGTGACCAGCGCAGTGAGGGGGACTGTGCGAGTTTGCCTGAAGGGTCCTTGCTGAGCTCCCTCTGTACAGATCACAACTGGGGCAAGCCACCTTGTTCGACCGAAGTTCAACCAGACTCTCACCGAGACCTTCACGTCCAACATTTTGTTTCATTATGTTTGTTTTGTTCTAGTGACTTTGTGGTTCCATTGACTTACCAGGTTTTTTGAGGCCCCTTAAACCGGTTCGCCTGAAGGCGACCGGTTATTATCTTGCAAAGCAAGCTGGATTATGCCAATGCTCAACCATCCAAAAGACCTCTCAGCTTGTTGATTGCAGGTAGACAGAAGCACAGCACGATACAGCACCCAGTGAGAACAGCTACACGAATTTTTAAGTGTCCATCCAAGGAAGGCCCTTGCTGCTTGCCGTAGGTCTTGCACACCCCTGGTTTTTCAGTACCTCTTCGTACTTCTTACAGAATCTTGCAAAATCAGATAGGGATGCGGGCAATACGCTTGGAATGCTCTTGAACAGTGCCGGTGGCCTTCTGGAGCTGGTCTGGAGCTGGCCTGGCCTTAACAACTCGCTTGTGGCTTCAGCAGAAGCTTAGATTTGCTTGGTCAACGCCTTTCTGCAACATTGTTGTGGCTGTGGCCAGAACCACAATGCGTTGAAGGTAGGAACATGACTCTCACTCTTCAACAGCTGGCCATGCTTTGCTTGCATCAGGTTCCCACCACCAAGAGGAGCACAGCGAGTTCATGCGAGATCGCACAGGTACCTTGGCACCTTGCCTTCCTTGTCTTTACCCTTCAGTGTGACCCCTGACCTTGTGACTAAGTTGTGGTACTCAAGTACGGCTTGCAGACATGTTCAAAGCCAGAAGTGGAAACCCAATTGAAAGCAGTCTTGTTTCCAGCACTACAGGGTAGTGAGGGGCAAGACGATGGCAAACTCATGAGGCAGTCTACGCATACTTTGCTTTCCCAGGAAAGGTGCAAAGGGGCGTCTCCACAATGAGTTTTGGAGGGATTTTCATTTCCTAGCTTTCGTTCCGCCAGTTGTGGTGTGCTCATGGCGTACCCAGGGCTCAGTACTTCCGCCTGAGGCAATGGATGCGCCTCCGGAGCCACCGGAGCCGGAAGGCGCCATCCAATGTATGTGGACTCCCAGCTAACATGAGAAGGCCTTGTCAAAGGGATGCCGGCCACCGTGGATGCTGAGCCTACCATTTCTTGGGTTTGGACCGCCACGTGCCACCTGATAGAACCCCTCCTTCCAATGATGTGACGAACACATCACCGCCGCTTGGGGCAGGTGTGGATTTGGAAGTGAGGCCATCCCTCCTAGGTGAGGAAGTCGACGTCATTCCTGCTCCATTTTCCCAGCAGGGTTTGCTCATGGTTATATACTCATGGTTACTCGAATCTCAATGATCTTAATATACCTTCATGAACTTGTTACTTCCTTGTATCACGAGTACGTTGAACCAAAAGCGGTTGTTTCCTTGATCTCCAAGTTGATCAGGAGAGGATGCGGGAAATGGCTTGTTTGTGAAGCAGGCCGGGACCAAACAAGGGCCTTGAGGGCCTCAAGGGCCTCATCAACCAGCACCCGAACGCCACGGGGCAAGAGCTGGGGACTTGGCCAGCTGTGCTTAGGCGGTGCTGCCTGGGCAGGTGCTCTGTGAGTATCACGGGAGACTGCTGAGCACCGCTGAGGCTGGGAACTCCCTGTCGCCCATGAATTCATGAAGGGGGGATCCATTGCTCTTTCAATAAATTTGAAATGTCTCGAAGCTCCTGGGGTGTCAGCGTCCAGAGAACAAGGAAGGAAGAGGAGAGTCTCTTCTGTTTGATGCCGCGACTGTAGCATCCCATCAGTCAGAGTCCAGCCAGAAGGCACAAGAGGGTTATACTCTCCTCACGTCATTTTCATTGAAGCATGCCTCAGTCCCTAGCAACAAACCCACCTTCTTCAAGCACACTTCAATTTTGATCGAGTTCCTTCTGACATGTGGTTGTTGTTGTAGTTGTAGTTGTATGCAGTGGCACAGTTATCCAACACGTCTCGGAAGAGTGGACTCGAGTGGCCTTTCCACAGATGTCGTGTTGCCAACTAAGATCGGAGCGAGCATGCACTGTTTGCCAGTTGGAACTAGTAGCGATGCCCTTGTTACTAAAGCTACTTCCCTGGAGACTCTGTGGTTCTGTGCGGTTGACCATTTTACTTTCCGAAGGCGATGCGCTTGGAGAACAAGTCCTATCTCATGCGTATTGGTCCACAGGACTGATTGGCCCACCGTCGTTTTACTTTTTGGATCCAACTGACCTGGACACATTGCTTGGCTCCGAGCTGGATTTAGCAGCTCGGATAGCCAGAAGTGAAAGTCCAGTGAAAGTGAACAACTATGAGAAAAGACAGGGACACAGGATGACACTGCACACTTGTGGAGCTGTTTTTCTTGACAGCTTGTGAAGGAGTATATCGACGCCCGTGAGGATGAGTCAGTGCTGGCCCGCTTTATCAACGACTGTCGGAACCCTGCTGTCCTTGCCTCAGGGAGCCTTTGCAGTGCTTCATTCTTCTTCATCAATCCTAGAAGAACAAGACATGCAGGTCTTTGAGGTCGTAAAGATCATTGAGACAATCCCAAACTGTTGGTTTGGTCGGTTTTTTGGTCTGCTTTATCGAACTAGCCCTTCCAAGGCTTCACGTCGGTGGACTAAAATGTTTAGAATATTCCAAGGCTTCGGGTCGGAGTTGGGCAGAATCTTTCGATAGCGTCGGAGTTGGACTTCGCTTTTGGTTCTCAGTGATCGGACGCACATCACCCATGTTTCTGTTGAGAAAAACAGGAAAGCACGGGAAACAAAGCAGATCAACAAAGCAAGTCCCTTTGAGGGACCCAAGAAAAGGTGGGTCCCAAATGAGATACAGTAACACTAAAACACTCACAACTGCCTTCAAGCCCTGGAATGGTGGGAAGTTCAGATTGCAGTTTTACAAGATCTCAGATTTCCTGAAGTCGACTGCGGCGTTTGTTTCTCCAAAACATTTGTGTCAAGAGATCGCAGTCGACTTCGCTTGGTTTTCTTCTCAGGTGTACAACGTGCGGTTTGACAAACGGCCCGGTGAAGCCAGAGCCGTCGTGGTGGCCGTTCGACCCATCTGCGCTGGAGAGGCGCCGATCGGTTCCACCACTGTGGCGCTGCAAGCTGGGCAATGTGTTTCTACTAGCTTCTTGTTACTACTAGTAAGGCACTTGTTACTAGTAGCG